TAGCACCCCTAGACTACAACACCATGACCTAGTCTTTTACTCCACCCTCAGCCACATACAGGGATGATCTTACCCTAGACCTAATTGTTACCCACAGGTATTCAATTTCCTTAATAAAAAATTCAGACATTCCTACATCTGACCCTAACTTCCTATCTTTTCTTCTGTATGCCTCATCCATCCTAAATCTATTCTCCTGCATGGTGACCTCTTATTTCTCTCCATCCTTCAGTGTTTTCTCAGGTTCCAATCTCACTTTCCTCCCTCTCCAATCTTGGCCCCTTAGCAAAGCTAAGTTTGAATCTGCAAGAAATAGATATGACCATTGCTATTAAGAAAGAAGTCTCATGGGGCAGCTAGGTGGTGCAGTGGATAAAGCACCAGCCCTGGAGGCAGGGGGACCTGAGTTCAAATGTGACCTCAGACACTAGCTGTGTGACCCTGGGCAAGTCACTTAACCCCAATTGCCTAAAAAAAAAATTAAATTTAAAAAAGAAAGAAAGAAGTCCCTCAGTAGATAGAGCTAAGGCCTTGGAGTCAGAAGGACCTCAGTTCAAATCCAACCTCAGACACTTGATACTTACTAGTGATGAGGTCTAGACGTCAGGGGTTCTGGAATCCCAAAATCACTGACACGTGGGTCCTGCCCAAAAGAATTCGACCCAAACTTTCTTGCAGCCAAAAACAAGGTTTATTGAAGATTCGCCATATTACCTAGACTCTTAAGGAATCTGAGAGTCTTATGAGCTATTGGCTAGATTATAAGAATCCCAGCCTCTTAATGGACACAAGATGGACCTTATATACAGAAAGACTATGGGAGGGATCTAGGAGTGGCCAAGTAGTCTATGAGGTAATAGAACTCCAGGGGTGACCAAGGGAGAATGGAGCCTAGATAGGATTAAGGGTGGGAAGTGGCCTGGGGCCCTAGGGAGGTCTAGGCTAGGTTAAGGGTAAAAGAGAATTGGGACATTGGGTGTAGCCTCAAAGACAGGTCAGTTGATGGGATTGTAGGCTCAGGTTAAAGCCAGAGATTTGGCCCCATGGGAAAGTCCAGGGTTTTTCCTTTTTGGGGTCTAGATCCCATTCTCATCATTAGCTGTACGACCTTGGGCAAGTAACTTCACCCTGATTGCCTCATCAAAAAGAAAAAAAAGAAAAGAAAAGAAATAAGTCCAACCAAGCAGAGGAACAGCTTGAAAGAGGTTTGTTTAGTTGAGATGTTATGCTGAGTGATCTGTTAGCCAATTACAGCATGGATCAAATCATTTTAGCAGAAGCTTCTGTTTAGCATAGAATCTATCTGTGCTCAACAAGGAATTTTTTTTTTTTAACTTTTAGGCAATTGGGGTTAAGTGACTTGCCCAGGATCACACAGGAGTAACTGTCAAGTGTCTGGTCTGAGGCCAGATTTGAACTCAGGTCCTCCTGACTTCAGGGCCAGTGCTCTATCCACTTTGCCACCTAGCTGCCCCAACAAGGAATTTTTATGGACATGATGGGGTTGGGATCTAGACTCCAGAAAGGAAAAACCCAGGACTTTCCCATTTGGCCAAATCTCTGGCATTTGCCTGAGGTTATGATCCCATCAACTGGCCTGTCTTTGTGCTTACACCCAACACCTTTAACCTAGCCTGGCCTTCCTTTGTTTTACCTATGTATGGCCCCAGGCCATTTCCCACCCTTAATCCTAGCTAGGCTCCATTCTGCCTTGACCAGGAGGTCCAGGTCCCAGGAGTTCTGTTCACCCCAGTTTACTGGCCATTCCTAGGTCCCTCCCACAGTCTTTGAGTATATAAGGTCCACCTTGTCTCCATTAAGATGCTCTGATTCTTATAATCTAGCCAATAGGTTACTAATTCCTTACTCCTTAAGAGTCTGCCCAGTATGACAGATGTTCTAATAAACCTTGTCTTTGGTTGAAAGAAGGCTTGGGTCAAATTCTTTTGGGCAGGATCCATGTGTTGTGATTTTGGGGTCCCAAGACCCCTGAACCCCTAAACCGCATGAGACAGAAATAGGACACCAAAGGACATGGGGTTTTCTCACTCATGTACTTATTTGGCAGGTTTCCATGAGTGTATGCTCATTCTTTTCCCTTCCCCTACCTCAGACACTAAAAGCATTGGTGGGAGAGTGTGATTCAGGTTTATGTATGTATTGTAATATATCTTATTATTCATACCCTTGCTTTAATGTATGAGTGCCTGTAATGTTTTTATTTCTTTTCCTTCATTTCTAAGTAAATCATTTTAAGGATCTAAATGTGACATCATTGTGAGTGGCTGGGTTGTATAAATGGAAACACATAAGTGGGGCTTAGAAACTAAAGTGGTGATTGTAATTCCTTTCAGGATTATTCCTAAAACTGAGAGAATTTGAATGTAATGATGAAGGGGTGGTCCTTTTCTAGGAACCTAGACCTGCCAGTGTGAGAATAGGTTGGACTGAATGAGCCAGCCCAGCAAATCCACATACTTGCGTAAGAAATGGGATACGCTACAATGTGGGTGGCCACCTGTTATATATGCACCTATTATCTCCCTGCTACAATGTAAGGTCCTTAAGAAACTGGAAGGGGAAGGAAAGAGAAGAGGAAGAGAATAAGCATTTAGGCAGTGCCTACTATGGGCCAAGCATAGTAGAGTCAAGTACTTTTTACAAATTTTATCTCATTTGATCCTCACAACAACTCTGGGAGGTAGGTGGTATTATTATCCCCCTTTTGCAGTTCAGGAAACTGAGGCAAACAGATTGACTTGCTCAGGGTCATACAGTTAGTATCTGAAGCTGGATTTAAACTCGTCTTTCCACTGTACTACCAGCTGCCTTATATATGAAAATTATTTCATTTTTCATATAGGAATTATTTCATTTTTTAATATGTATCACTGTGCCTCACACTTAGTAAACTCTTAAGAGATGGTTGTTGATTGAAATGTCAGAGTTGAACCTCATCATGGGGAACCATGTAGGTCCCTATCACCTCTAGCTCAATAATCCTATGACGGCTTAATAGATCTGTCCCCCTATTGTAAGCTCCATGAGACACTGAAAGCATTGTGTCTCCCCAACTGCCTAGCTCAGTGCTCTGTGAGCCATAAGTGCTTAACCAAGGCTTTCTGAATTGTCTTTGTTGTAGGGCAACACTTCCCAAGGGCAAACTACCCTCAACCTAAGCATTAGGATCATAACTTCTAGCCACCAAACTAGGATTGTCAGAGATGCAAGTGACCTTCACCTCCTCATTTCAAAGATGAGGAAATTTTGGTCTGCTTCTTCTTTCACAAGATGACTAATATGGAATTATGTTTTACTTGATTGCACATATATAACCTATATCAAATTGCTTTCTGTTTTAGGAAGAGGGGAGGGGAGGGAGGGAGAAAAATCTGGAACTCAAAATTTTGTAAAAATGAATATCAAAAGTTGTCTTTATAGATAATTGGAAAAAATAAAATACCATTAAAAAATAAAGAGGAGGAAACTGAAAGTCACTGACCAAGGTCCTGTCAGAGCAGGAAATAGAATCAAGCTCTTGGGACTCCCAACTCAGGGCTTGATTCCATATACTTCTGAGGAGATGCAAAACCTTGAGGTTTTTCCATGTCAGGTTTATTGATGATTGTTGCTTCTCCCTGCCCCCAACCTCACCCTGACTCCCACCATCCCCGGTGAACACTGGAGGTCTTTAGCAGAAAGGGTAGTAGCTGACAAGAAGCACCTCTGTCCCTTCCCACTGTTGTGTTATGGGTTTGGACCCTATGGTCCGTAGATTCACAGATTTAGAGATGGAAAGAAAGCTTAGAGGCCATGTAGTCTAACCTTTTCATTTTACAGATGAAGAAAATGTGGTCCAGAGAGGTTGTGACTTTCCCAGAGCAGACACTAAAAGCCAGAGCCAGGATTAGAATCAAGATGGAATCCACTGATCCCAAATCCAGCACCAGTGGGAGGAGGGGGTGTGGGAGGGGGAAATGAGGTAAAAAGAGAACAGGATATACAGCTTTGCTTCTCAGAAGAGTTACAGGTGTGTGAGAGCCAAGGGAATCAAAGGTAGTCTTAAGCATTCTCTGAGATTTATTCACTGGGGTGTTGGGAAGGGGAGTGGATGTGGGATTGGAATACAGAATTTTCTGAGAAAACCAAGAAACTACTATTCCCAGGAGATGATTAGAAGCTGCAAGAGGGCGAGACCTTTTTGTTTACTTAGGGTAAGGAGAGTAAGTGGGTAGGGTTGAAGGAAATAGAAGCTGAATTACTATATTCTAAATGGATCTGGGAGCAAGGGGGTGTGTGGGTACCATTACCTCCACGAGAACATGCCACCCCCTGACCCAGATTAGTCTAATCTTAGAATAGGACCAAGCACTGGGAGGGATGAATCTTGTGGCTGAGAGGGAACCCCGCCTGGAAATGATGAAGAACTGACTGCCTTTCCAGGTGGGAGGTGAAGCCTCTAATAAAGGGAGCCCAGAGCCTTTGAAAGGAACCTGGGCAGAGTGCTTCTCTCCCTTGGCAGCCTAGAAAAGTGGAAAGAACCCTGGATCCCAGAGCAAAGGACCTACGTTGAAATTCTTATACCTAAATGGTTTTAGGCAATGGGCTTGACCTGACTGGACTTCCATTTTAAACTCTTCTATAAAATGAGGGGATTGAAATAGATCACTTTTGGGTGCTCTGGGCTGTAATAGGAGATCCAGGATTAGGTATCCCATACTCCCAGGTTTTAGCTCAGTCCAGTTGATGTGTTCTCCCCAGTGACCTTCAGTAATTCCACTCCCCCTCCCCTCTCCCTCCAGGACCACCCCCTGACACACACACACACACACCCCACAAGAGCCCAGACCACTAAGAGCTAGGTGGTTTGGCAAGGGTTGATGATTGAGAAGAGGGAAAATGGGAGAGTGAGGGGCTTTACTACAGGTGGGGGGGTGGGTGGGAATGAAACGGAATTCCCACTCTCTGCTCTAACTTCTGGGGGTCCCCCCCATTGGAGCCTAGCAGGCCAAGTACCCGCCATCAACCAGGATGCCTGAGCCATTGGTCATGGCACTCTTGTCACTCAGAAGAAAGAGGATGCTGTTAACCACGTCCTCCACCTCTGTAAGGAAAAGGGATGAGGTTAGAGGAAGGGCTTCTCCTCAAAGCAGGGGAGTTAGAGAATGGAATTGTAGAAATAGGTATATTCAGAAGAGGTGTTGACTTGGGCCTGGGGCTGCTTTCCACTTACCCTAGTAATATCTGGAAGTTGTGGGTTGGGGGGGTTGGCAGAGAAGGGCTCTATGGAAAGAGTAGATTGTCCACAGCACACCCAGCCTATCCCACCCTACTATGCCTTGGCTCTGTGGCTTTCTAGTGCTCTGATGAAGTCCTGCTGAGGAGGGGTGCTGACTGAACACTGGCCACCTCCCACCCCCACCCACACAGATACATACATACCTGCAAACTTGTTTAGGGGAGTGCGTTCCTTCAGGTACTTAGCAAGTTCTGTATGATTAGTGACCCTTCTCCCCATGTGAGTGAGGACCACTGTAGGATTCACTGTATTTACCCGGATCTGAGACACAAAAGAGGCAGCCCTCAACCTGGGCTTTTCTGTCCCCAGGTTCCAGACTTACTGTTCCCACAGGCCCCACTTGTCTTTTCTCCCTACCTCAGCATCAATCCTTGTAGCTCCCTTCCCCCAAAGCTTCCCACTGGGCCAGAGCTCTCACCTTGTGTGGCCCCAGCTCCAAGGCCATAATCTTGGTCAGCATGTCCATTGCACCTTTGGTGGAACCTAGAGGAAGGAAGGAAAGGAGAAAAAGTATAAGGAGCCCAGTCTGGAGAGTCACACTGCTTTTCCTAGGCTGAGTGATTCTTACCCTTAGGAGAAGTGTGTGGGACTTCCTGGTCAAGTGGGAAAACCAGGGCTTAGAGGGGAAGAAGGAGAGAGGGATAGCAGGATTCTAGAGTTAGAAGGGACCATAGAAAACTAGGCATAGACCAACCTCTTACACCCTACACCAAGATAAAGTCAAAATGGGTACATGATTTAGATATAAAGGCTGATACTATAAGCAAACTAGGAGAGCAAGGAAGAGTTTACCTGTCAGATCTATGGTGAAGGGAAAATTTTATGACGAAACAAGAGATAGAGAAGGTCATGAAACGCAAAATGGATGATTTTGATTACATTGATTTGGAAAGTTTTTGCACAAACAAAGCCAATGCAGCTAAGATTAGAAGGGAAGCAGAAAGCTGGGATACAATTTTTACAGCCCGTTTCTCTGATAAAGGCCTCCTTTCTAAAACAGATAGAGAACTGAGTCAAACTTATAAGAATACAAGTCATTCCCCAATTGATAAATGGCCAAAGGATATGAACAGGCAATTTTCAGATGAAGAAATTAAAGCTATCTATAGTCATATGAAAAAATGTTCAAGATCACTATTTATTAGAGGAATGCAAATTAAAACAACTCTGAGATACTGTATCATACCTATCAGATTGGCTAACATGACAAAACAGGAAAATGATAAATGTTGGAGAAGATGTGGGAAAATTGGAACACTAATGCATTGTTGGTGGAGTTGTGAATTGATGCAACCATTCTGGAGAGCAATTTGCAACTGTGCCCAGCAATACCACTTCTAGGTCTGTATCCCAAAGAGATCATAAAAATGGGAAAAAGACCCCCATGTACAAACATATTTATAGCAGCTCTTTTCATGGTTGCCAAGAACTGGAAATTGAGGGAATGCCCATCAATTGGGGAATGGCTGAACAAGTTGTGGTATATGAATGCAATGTAATATTATTGTGCTATAAGAAATGATGAGCAGGCAGACCTCAGAAAAACCTGGAAAGACTTATAAGAACTGATGCTGAGTCAAGTGAGCAGAACCAGGAAAACATTGCACGCAATAACAGCCACATTGTACAATGACTAACTTTCATAGACTTGGCTCTTCTCAGTATCTCAGCATTTAAGACTACTCCAAAAGACTTATGATGGAAAATGCTATCCACATCCAGAGAAAGAACTATGGAGTCCAAATGCAGATTGAAGCATTCTGCTTGCTCTCTTTTTGTTGCTGTTTTGTTTTGTTTCTTCTTTCTCATGGTTCCTCCCATTGGTCCTAATTCTTCTTTACGACGTGACTAATGTGAAAATATGTTTAATGTGAATGTGTAAGTAGAGCCTATATCAGATTGCATGCCATCTTGGGGAGGGAAGTGGGAAGGGAGGGGGAGAAAATTTAAACTCAAAAGCTTATGGAAGTGAATGTTGAAAACTAAAAATAAATTAATTAATAATAATTTAAAAAAAAGAAATATATGTATGAAAAGAAGGGACCACAGAGTTCTGTTAGGGTACAGCCTCTGTTTTAGAGAAGACCAAATCACTTCCTCTCTGTGGACCTCAGTTTCAGTAAAGTTACGCAAGTGTCAAATTCAAGATCCAGAATGGATCTTCTTCTGATTCTGAATCCAATGCACTCTCCCTCAAACTGAGCTGAAGGATGGACTCAAGCTCTGCTCAGGGACTTAGGACCAGGGACTGATTCAGACACTGGGCAGAAGCAGTGGCAGGCAGAGGGGAAGAGAGAATACTCACTGTAACTGGTTAAGCAGAAAATAGCAGCCCGAGAGACTATGCTGGAGACATTGACGATGGATCCTGGGACCCCTCGAGCAATCATCCCTTTGGCAACCATCTGGGAACCAGTAGAAGGAGAAGGGTCCCGATCATACTGCTTACTACCCCTCAAAGCCATAACTAGGGTGAGCTAAGTCAGTTTTGTCCCAGATCTTCAAAATTTAGAGGGCCTGAAGTATAGTTACTGCGGTGACGAATTCCCTCTCCAATGCCTTAATTACTTCTTTAAAAAAATAAATATTATGAAAAACTTAATGTTGAACATCACTATGATCAAGTAAACTTGCCATTTTACATTTAAATGTATTAAAATAAATTCATAAAATATCACTCCCTCTTAAATTCCCATCACAATTTTGTTTATTTATTCATTTTCATTTACTTTCCCTCTTATCTGGTAGTAGCAATAATAATAATTTTTGTTGTTGTTCAGTCACGAACAACATGTCATGATCCCATTTGGGGTTTTCTCGGCACAGATACTGGGCTGGTTTGACGTTTCCTTCTCTAGCTCATTTTAAAGAAACTGGGGCAAACGGGGTTAAATGGCTTGCCCCAGGTCACACAGTTAGTAAGCGTCTGAGGTCAAATTTGAACTCATGAGGATGTCTTCCTGATTCCTAGCCCAGTGCTCTACATTGTGCCACTTAGTTGCTCTCAATGATAATAATAATAATAGCTAGCATTTAGATAGCACTTTAAGGTTGGCAAAGATCTTTATAAACATCTCGTTTGATCCACACAACCACCCTGTGAGATTAATGCTATTACTGCTATTAATGCCATCATCAGCCCCATTTTACAGTTGAGGAAACTGAAGGAAGCAGAGGTTTGCCCAGGGTCACACAGCTAGTAAATGTCCTCAGGTCAAATTTGAACTCAGATCTTTCTGACTCCAGGTCCAGTGTGCTTTCCACTGCATCAGCTGGCAGTAAATCTGTTCTTTTGGCTCCTTCCGTGTCACACTTTGCCCTGATTTGCTCAGAATTGGCAAAGAACGTCTAGGCAGGAAGCTCTTCTACAACATAGGAAATCAGTGACTATCCAATCAGTCTGTCCACTCCTTTCTCCTGAAGCAGCCCAGCAGAACTCTGCAGACAAGCAGCATTTCAGCTCTTGATAATGTGTTTCTTCCTGGGCAGCTAGGTGGCGCAGTGGATATAGCATTGGCCCTGAAGTCAGGAGAACCTGAGTTCAAATCCGGCCTCAGACCAAACACTTGATGCTTACTAATTGTGTGACCCTGGGCAAGTCATTTCACCCTATTCCCCTCAGTTTCCTCACCTGTCAAATGAGCAAGAGAAGGAAATGGCAAACCATTCCAATATTTTTCCCAAAGAAAACCCCAAATGGGGTCAGGAAGAGTCAAACACAACTGAAGCGACACAATGACAACAACATAAAGTAGTCATGAAAGTCTACACGAGTCTTGTGGGTATGTGTACGTCTGTGCTTTATAATACTTTTAGGGTACATTCTCAAAGATGGATTTATTAAGTAAAAAAGTAACTTTTATTTGTCTTGCCAGATTACTCTCCAAAAAGAACTTGCAATTCTACTGGCGTAAATACTTGTTTATTTCACATATTATTTTAGAATCATGAATTCCAAAGTTGATGAGAGACCTATTTGCTCCAGACTTGCTGACTGATGACCCCAGGCAGCGAAACTGTAGTCCCCCTGACCTCCGCAAGACCCTGGAAGCCCACTTCCAGCCCATTCTCCTTACCTGGGATACCTGGATCACAGAGCGAAGGTTCACGTTGATGGTCCTGCAGAGAAACACCCTGTCAGTCCCAGACGCCTCCCTTCCCCAGGCTTCATAGTATATTTGGAGCTGGAAGAAACCTTAGATGTCATCTAACTCAATTCCTTCATTTTACAGAAGAGGAACCTGAAGCCCAGTAAGAGGGAGAAGCGCGGCCCAAGGTTGAGTAAGTGTTTAGCAGCAGGACTGAGACCGTGTTTCTCATTGCCTTATCCCAGCTCTCCATCACCCCTACTCCCCCTTTCCCCAGCATTGTCTTTCCTGCCCCGTCTACTTCCATATCAGAACAGACTGTCTGCTCTTCTTCTCCCTGACCTATCTTACAGAAACGAGTGGAGGGCGACCCAACTCTCAGGCCTTCCTTTTCTTCCTTTTCTTTAGGTTTATATCCTAGGTCCTTGACCCTTCACCCCAGTTAGCTTCCCCCTCAAACCTCCAGAACTGCCTTTCTTTTCTTATTCCCTCCCGCTCCTTCTAATCTCATCCCTGACCTGTCAAAAGCCTCCTTGGAAACCTCCAAAAAGGGCTGCTCCAGAAGTACAGCTGCATTGTTGACCAGTAGGTCTATGGGGCCTATATTTCCCAGAGCACGTTCAGTGGCCTCCCAATCTCCCAGGTCCACGCAGACCGGCTCTATTCCTGGACGCTGTGGAGCAAGGGAGGCAAATGTCAGGAAGCTACCCCAGGGGGGAGAAAGGAAATAGGAAATAGGAAATAAGAAGAGGGGAGTGGAGGGGAGAAAAGTAGAAGGATACAGGACAAAGAGAAAACAGAAGTGATACATGTGACCTTGACCAAATTACATAACCTCTCTACACCTCTGTATCCTCATTTGTGAAATGAGGCGATTGGATTAGATGACTTAAGGTCACTTTCGGTTCTAAATTTTAATATCCTATGATCTTATGACTCAAGAGCTTAAGGTGTGTGATAGACCAGAGCTTAGAACTAGCTCAAGGAGATAGAAGTTGGCCTCAGGACATGGAAATTTAATAGATCTCTGTTCATTTATTTTACTTATTTTTGGTGAAGCAATGGGGTTAGGTAACTTGCCCAAGGTCACACAGCTAGTAAGTGTCAAGTGTCTGAGGGCAGATTTGAACTCAGGTCCTCCTGACTCTAAGGCAGGAGCTTTATCCACTGTACCACCTAGCTACCTAGCTATCCCATTTAGCCTATCTTTGGAAGCTCAGTTAGCAGCTTAAAACAACCTGAGCCAAGCTTTTGGTTAGTAAAAACGATTAGTGAAAAATGGCGAGTTTCCAGATGGCCTGTTTCTACTCCCTAATTCAGCCCCCATCTCCTCCTGTCCTGCAGCAGATTCTCAGTGTCCCTAGATTCTTGAGGTCCAGGGTCCTCCAGGTCTCTGCTTCAGCCCTCCCACACACATTGTTGAGGGTTAGGGGTGCCGGGACCCGGAAATAGCAACACAGGTCCTCCCTCAAATGAATTCTACTCAAAGCCTTCTTTCAGCCAAAGACAAGGTCTATTATATCGCCAAAAGAAGTGGGCCAGACTAAAGGAATCTGAGCTTTTGCCGGCTTGTCCATACAAGCAGGCCAGACTGAATCTGAGCACTTCAATGGAGGCAAAATGGACCTTTCATACAGTGATCTGGAAGTGGGCAAGTAGTCTGGGAACAGAGAAGGGGTCTAGATAGAATTATGGGTGGGAAGTGGCTCAGAGACAATGAAGGGCTGGGCTAGGTTAGAGGTAACAGAGAATTGGGAGATTGGGCATAGGCCACAATGAAAGGCCAGTTGTGAGAATTACTGGGATGGGTAGATGCCTCAGGCATACCCATTAATACAGGGTAGCATCTGGGGATCTGGTGCCTGTTGGCTTCGACAGAATTATCTTTAAAAGTCGGTTAAGGCCAGAGTTCTTAATCTGGGTTACATTACTTTTTTTTTTTAATTTGATAACTCTCTTTTGATATAATTGGTTTCTTTTGTAATATACATTTTGCATTTTATTTTATGCATTCAAAAACATATTTTGAAAAGGAGTTCATAGTTTTCATGATACTCATGAGAAGGGGTCCAAGACTCAAAAAAAGGTTAAGAATTCCTCATTTAAAAGCACGTTTGACTCCCCATGCCAAGACTGACCAATACTGCTCGGCAGGGGTATGAGATTTGGAGGGTGGGGGATGGGGTTCAGGGCAGAACTTCCTTACCTCCTTGGAAAGGCTGACCAGGTCCTCTTTAGTCCTGCTCACAGCCACCACCTGGGCCCCAGAATCACGCAGTGCCTTCACTGTATCCCTTCCAATCCCTGTAGAAGGAGGGGGGCAAAGGGATCTTCTGTACCCCAGGTCTACTGTCCCTATTTCCCCACTGGGGACACAGCATTCCTCCAAAATGACAGCTTTGGACCCTCACCCCTCCCCAAAACATCATAGCTGGGCTACTGGACACAACAAAAATAACTTGGACACTTAATTATATAAACTTCTGATAACAGTTTATCCTCTATTCTGTTGTCCCTCACTGAGGGAAAGGGACACTGTGAACTCCCAACACAGCTCAACTCTGTTCATTCTTTAAAAATAGCTAAAAAGCTATTTTAATTTGAAATAATTTAACTTAAAATTTAAAATTAAAATTTTAAAGCTATTTTAATTAAGCTTTAAACTGCCTTAAGACTTTAGGAACATGCTCTATAAGACTAAACAACACCTTCTAGCATGAGCAAATATTCTTCTCTTCCCGGACTTGTTTAATAGCCCAGGTTCGAATGGAACCAAGTTCAGATTTCTTTGCAGAGATGTGGGCTCTTAGGAAATGCAGTGTCTGTGTGTTTTCCTTTAGAATAATCTAAAGCTAAACACACATTCCTGTTCGATTAATGTATACTACTTTGTTCAACAAACTCTTTAGAGACAACATCCTTCCCACCTTTCTGAATTCCCCTGAACTTTGAACTTTGTTTTTCTTTCAATTTTGAAAGGAATAAAAAAAACATTTTATCCCTAAGAACCTTCTTGACCAATCCCTCTCCCCCTTTTCTGACCCCTCCAGCAGCACTGGGAGCAGTCGTGCAGGATTTCCCTTCTGGTCTCCTTTTTCCCTAGACATCCTAGGCTGGGCCCTGCACCAAACTCTTTAAGTGCGGCTCTGATTTTGGCAAGGAGGGTTGGGTGAGGGGGGTAATGACTTAACCTGAGGACTCATGGCAGAATCTAAGGATCTCTGTCAAACCCTTCATCATTGTCATTGTTGTTGAGTGATTTCAGTTTTGTCCATGACCCCATTTGGGGTATTCTTGGCAAAGGAACTGAAATGGTTTGCCATTTGCTTCTCCAGCTCATTCAACTGATGAGGAAACTGAGGCAAACAGGGTTAAGTGACTTGCCCAGTGTCACATAGCTAGTAAGCATCTGAGGCTGACTCCAGGCCCAGAGCTCCATCCCCTGCACCATCTATTAACCTAAGGCAATTTGAGGCATCCTCAAATCCCCACCCTAAACTCTTCACAAACTGCTAGGGATGAGGGAAGAGGATGCTTTTAGCCAGGACACAGGATGGGTTCAGTCATACTACTCCCACAAACACACATGCACCTCATACCCTGAACTTCTAAACCAGAGGTTCTTAACCTGGGGTCTACGAACTTTAAAAAATATACTTTGATAACTGTATTTCAACATAATTGTCTTTTTTTGTAATCCTATGTATTTTATTTTATACATTTAAAAAATATATATTATTCTGAGAAGGGGTCCATGGGCTTCAGCAGAAGGGGTTCCTTATGGCAAAAATGTAATCTAAGCCAGACTCTCCCCAACATCTTAGTGACTTTCTCAGCGTTTCATCTGGGAGAATATCATCCTGCCCCTTCTTGCATATTTCCCACAATCTAGACAACATTTGGGAAGTTTTGGGGTCCTGGAGCTGAGTGCACCCGGTCAACTCTTTCCCCTTCATTCTCACCTTTCCCTGCACCGGTCACCAGGGCCCTGAGTCCACTGAAGCTGATCTGCATGGTGCTGGAAGAAGAGTCCAGGGTAAATAAGGGGCTCCTCCAAGAAGGTGAGTTTATATTCTCATATGGCTGGCTGGAGGCCAAAGAGCAAGAGGTAGGGCCAGATAATCCTAGAATAGACCCACCCAATGCAAAAATCATTGCCAGGGTTATATAAAGGTGAAACTATTAACGTTTAACTTCATTCTTGAGGATAGGGATGGGTGCAGGTAGGGGAAAGTTGCATCAGAATTATGGTTCTCCCAGGATACCCACACCCCCAACCGCAGTTGGGGGAGGGGGGGTGCTAGCAGAGGGTACAAGGAAAGACTGAGGTCTCTGTAGACCTCTGTAGACCTCAAGATCTCCAGCTGGAGAGTTCTGAATTCAAGTTCAGTGAGGGGTTGTATGTTTGTCATCCAAGGACCAGCTTAGCTGAGTTAGTAGAGACTTGCTGGTCACAGTAATTCCCACATTCCTTCTATCAAATCACAGAGGTTGTACTATGTGTCTATGGAGAGAATATTCACACCAAAGAAATCATAGATCTTTTAAGGACTGAAGTTTTGAAATGCAGTCACATCTGATGGCAGGGTTAGGTTCTAAAGTCAGAGGGTAAGGCAAAAAATCAAAGTTACCCTTGAAAAGCCTTTAAATAGTGAATAAAGTATACAGCAATATCTTTAGGGAGTTAGGTAGCTGGACACTAGCTAGAATTTGAAAAGAAGTCAGTCTGTATAAGAGATGAAATGGTACAAGGAAACAATCAAATATAAACTTTATTCCTTTCCCACCACACAGAGCTAATAACAGTGATCAGGAGAGAGGAGAAGAACAAGGATTTCTATTCAAATAAAATGAAACAAAAACAGGTCAAGATTTACCTGGCAGTAATAGTGATGATTAGGGGGGAACCCTTTTTTTTCCAGAATATTTTTTTTCAGTAATCACTGGTTTTCCTTGCCAGCTGTATTTACAATTTTTTGTTTTCTTCTATTCTAAGATTCTGTGCTTCTTAGATAATTAATCTTCCTAGACCTCATTTCCCTGGGATTATTAGGGATAACAATAATAATATTAATGGTCCTGTAGCTAGGATGCTTTATTTTTTATGTTTTTTTTTTAACGTTCATCTTTTAATTTTGAGTTCCAAATTCTCTCCCACCCTCCACCCTTTCCTCCATCCATTGAAAAAAGCAATCAATATGATATCCATTATACATGTGAAGTCGTGCAAAACATGTTGGCCATGTTGAAAAAAAAAAGAAAAGAAAAATAAGAAAGTGTAAAAAAATGATTTAATCTGCACTCAGAATTCATCAGTTCTCTCCCTTGAAATGGATAGCTTTTCTCATCATGAGTCTTTTGTAATTGTCTTGGATCATTATATTGATCAGAATGGCCAAGTCCTTCAGAATTAATAATTGTTACAATATTACTGTTACTTTGTAGGCACAATGTTCTCCTGGTTCTGCTCACTTCACTTTTTGTCATTCAAGGAATTCTTTAAGGTTTTTCTGAAGCCATCTTCCTAGTCATTTCTTATAGCACAATAGTATTCCATCACAATCATATAACACAAGTTGTTCAGTTATTCCCCAACTGATGGGCATCCCCTCAGATTCCAGTTCTTTGCCACCACAAAAAGAGCTGCTATAAGTATTTTTGATCTTTTTCTTTGATCTCTTTCAGATACAGACCTAGTAGTGGTGTTGCTGGATCAAAGGGGATGCACAGTTTTATTGGCCTTTGGGCATAGTTCCAAATTGTTCTCCAGAATGGTTAGACCAATACACAATGCCACCAACAGCACTTTTAGTGTCCCAAATTTTTCCACATTCCCTCCAGCATTTGTCATTTTCCTCTTTTGTAATGTTAGCCAATCTGATAGATATGAATTGGTATCTTGGAATTGTTTTAATTGGTATTTCTCTAATTATTAGTGACTTAGAGCATATTCTTTCATATGACTATTGACAGCTTTGACTTCTTCTGAAAATTGTCTGTTTATATCTCTTGACAATTTATCCATTGGGGAATGGCACTTGTTTTAATATACTGGGCTCAGTTCCCTATATATTTGGGAAATGAGGCCTTTATCAGAGAAACTTGCTGTTATTTTTCCCCCCCTATTTTCAGCAAGGATATTTTAAAGAGAAAATAATTAGGAAATTGTGAGGCTTCACACATCAATTTGGGTACTTTAGAGGGTGATACTATCACCATAGCTCTGTCACTCTAAACATAATGAATAGAAGGAAGGAAACAAACATTTAATAGGCATCAATTATGTGCCTGGCACTGTGCTAAGTGCTTTGCCAAAATTATCTCATTTGATTTTTTACAACAACCCTGGGAGATAAGTGTTTTCATTATCCTTATTTTACGGTTGAGGAAACCAAGGCAGACAGCAATTGAGTGATTTAGCCAGGGTCACATAGCTAGTAAGTATCTGAGATCACATTTTAACTCAAGCCTTTCTGAGTCCAGGAGTAGTGCTCTAGCCACTGCATCATCTAGCTGCCATAGAACAGATTATCTGTGGGTACGATGAAGAGATTCCAGGTCACACTCATTGTGGGGAGGGGTTCACAAAGAGAGGCAGGGGAGAATAGTGATGGAGGGAACATAAGTTTCCTAACTTCTATGCTCGCTTGAGGCATGTGCTCTTTGAATGGCCAGATGCAGAGAACAAATGTCAGGCAGAATACCTGACACTATTTGCATTATCCCTCTATCCTTCCTTTTTGTCTGGAGAGTATAGTTCATTACACATATGTAAAATGTACATATGGTTAGGACTATGTTGTTAGGTTATTAGAAAGGTGAGGAGGTATCAGGTAGAGAAAGGGCAGAGGGCAATGGAGGCCACATGTGGTTCCCCACCCTGGCCCTTGAACAAAGGCATGGAGGTAAGAAAACTCTAGTGGTCACCAAATTTTCTTTTATATAAAGGAGGGGAAGGGATAAAATATGTCAATGAAAGGATGATGCACAATGGAGGGAACAGCTAATTTGGATAGGAAGAAGCTAGTATCTTGTGCTCATGGCTAGAAAGACAAGTCAATGTCTTGAATTCTAATCACTGTGGTTCGAAAGAGAATGAATCATGCAATTAAAGAGCCAATAAAGGAGACCCAGAAGTAATTAGAGGTAGGGGGAAAACACTTGGAGAGTTTGGTGATTTTAAATCCTTGGGAAGGTCCAGTACTGCAGAGAGTTGAAGCAGAAAGAGTCCTCAAAAAAAAAGGCCTTAGGATTTGGTGATTAGGAGATCATTGGTTACCTTTGAGAAACTCCAATTTCAATGGAGAGATGAAGATGAGAGCAGATTTAGGAAGGGTTATGGAGGGAGGGAGGGAGGAAGAGACTGTGGTTCACAGAATCACAATTATTTAAGAAAGCATGTTTTATTCTCCGTGTTTTGAAATCGATAACTACAACGTGGATATTAGTTGAGTGGCAAACAATAATAAAACACAACAAAATACAAAATGAGGCACTGGCACATCATTGAACATTTAGCCCAAGGAGGTTTACTTTGCCCTAACACATCAGAGTGGTACCAAGGATTCAGCAGCATTTAGCTACTCTGGAAGCAACCCCCTTTGTCTTCATAAGGAAACTTGTCAGGTCAGAAGAGCAGCATAAGGTGAATTGTGTGGGCACTGAATCTTGTTTGCCCATAGATAACCAGGAAAATGCATGAGGGAAGTTGAGGTCAACCATATCCCAGGGACAGCTTTGTTCTAGGCCAGGGTTGAAGACAGGAGGAAGAAAGAAAGTTGCATCAGTGATAGGGGTGAGGGGTGTTAATCTTTTAGGTAAAGACTCCCCATGTTCTAGGTGGAAGGAAAAAAGTTGCATCAGGGAATGACTTGGTCCCATCACATCTATTTACAAATCTGAATCAGCTATGGAACAGGTAGTTTATTCCCAAGCAGAAGAATCATAGAATGATTAGAACAGAATCCAATAACTAATTACTGCTAGTCAAAGTAGTTGGAAAACTAATATTAAAACCTTTTATGGACAGAAAGAGCTCATACAAGGCCACTACAGTTTATATTTTACCTTACAGTTTGATCATACACTAAATGGGATCTTCTTTCCTGCGACCAACCCTCTCCATGATGCCAACTCCCTGGGCACTAGTCCATTCCTACCACTGCTGGAACTCTCTCTCCTGGCTATCAAACTGTCTGATGTCTGGGCTTTCCTCTTCTCCCTACCCCAATCTCCACCCTCATCAGCTATTGTAGGTCCATGGGGACATCATTGTCAAGACCTTGCTGATGGAAATGCTGCTGCTGTAATCAAGGGACTCCAGGCCTTTTGAGTTCTCACAAGCCCTTGTACCAAAAGAAAGAAAGACACAGCAAAGGAAGTGGTTCCATTGGTACCGGCTTGCCTGGTCAGACCATGTGTTCTGCTGAGTGGAAATGTACTCCCCACTTGACCTTTCAGATGGGTCAAAGAATCATCTTCATGATTTGAGGACAGAAGGAAGAAGCATGCCCTAGCCCTCAGGCTAGGTCATTCCTTTAAAACTAGTATCAAGAGAATAAAACAGAATAAAGTCAAAGCTCAGCAACCAATTAGGGAAACCCAACCCATGAATGAGTCATAAATAGTGAGAACCAGTCAGAAGATAGCTTCTTGTATTGTTCTGTGCATGCTGGGTATAGAAAGGCCGCTGGTACATAAATACTCTGTATGTGTTCATTATGTATGTGTATGTTATTTGCATGTTGTCTATCCCAACAGAATGTAAGTTTCTTGAAGACATTTTTATCTTTGTGATTCTGTCATTTAGTAAAGTGTCTAGTGCCATAGGAGTCACTTAAGAAATGTTTCTTGTCTGGGGCAGCTAGGTGGTGCAGTGGATTGAGCACTGGCCCTGGAGTCAGGAGGACCTGAGTTCAAATCAGTTCTCAGATACATAACACTCACTAGCTGTGTGACTCTGGGCAAGTCACTTAACCCCAATTGCCTCCCCCCCTAAAAAAAGAAGGAAATGT